TTTGATTTCATGAATCCTCTATTTATTTCAATCAATTATTAAATATAGTAAAAATTTTGATTTTTCTTAGTTTATCTGACATGAAATTAAAATATAATAAATTTTTTTTAATAAAATATCGATTTTTCAGCTAAATGAAAATTAAAATCAAACCGAAAATCGAAAACCAAATATTAAAGTTTTAAAAACTGAAAATTAAAATCAAATTTTAAAACAGAACCGAACCAATCAAAGTTGATCGGTTCGGTTCAATTTTCCAGTTTTAACCGAATGATGCACACCCCTACGAACATTAGACAAAAATGACATATTTGAGGTGTTAGAGATGCTAAGTTTGCATGTATGTAAATTTTAAGCTTAGAATATTAGATATGTAAAATAGAATATTTTGGTTGGTATGTATGTATGTAAATCTCTCATAGTTTTATTTATTTATATATGATTATAATTTGAATGGGCAATATTTTTGTGGGATCAACAGGGTATGACATGCAGTTTGATATAAAGTATGCATATTTTAATTTCCTACAATCCTTCAAAGTTGTGCCCCACCACTTCCTGTGTGACATGTCTGAGAAGCAGACACAAGCAGATGAGGAAGCTAATGAGCAGAGTGAGCGATGACCCCATTATTGTATGTTTTAGTGAAAGTATGTTAGGGACATTAATATAATAATAGAACATCAATTTGATGGATGCAATTTAAGTAAATAATTTGGCAAACATTTTGTTTCAAGGAAATTGCATATTTGACCTCCTGAAACTTAGTATTTACAAATCAATCACCCCCTTTTTTTCATCACCTTTTAAATTCTAACTCAAGTATCAAAATTTATGGCAAAACTCTGACCCATATTTTCTTATGAAATTCTCAATAGTTTGATCGGTTGAGCCGGTCAAAAGCTATCGCTTGAATGATTAATTTCTAAATATCAATGTTTTGGGCGATCTGAATGTAATTTCTAAATTCTTCGCTTTATTTTCAATTAATATATTGCGCATTTATGCACATAAAAAGAATATTGTTTGCACTATAATTAGATTCATAACATATGTTTTGTAACATTCAATCAGTATCTTAGAGATCATTATAAGTATTTCTTGCATGATGATGATTGATTAAGATCAAAATACATGACGATTTTCCAAGATAAAAATAGCATTAACTTGCAAAAAAAGATTTGTTGTTAATTTATCATGAAAATGATAATTTTTTTTCTTGCAACTATTGATGGCAATCAGTGATAGATTTATTCATAATGATGGTGAAAATTATTTTGTTTATGGGAAGAAATATTAAAAGAATTAAGATGCTTGGCTAAAAAAATTAAAATAATATTCAAATTATATTAAAAATTTTGAAAATTGTAATCACAACTAGGGCTGTAAATGAGTCGAGCTTGAGCGAGCTGAGGCTTGACTCGTGTTTGGCTCGTTCGAAATAGCTCGTGTTCGTGTTCAAATAACTCATGTTCGAAATCGGCTCGTGTTCGAAACTGGGGCTCAATTTAAATATTCGTGTTCGTGTTCAGCTTGAAATTGATAAATATATATATAATATATTATTATATAAATAATATATGTAATATATTGTTATCTAAAAAGTTATATAATTTTTTTTTCGAGTCATTTCGAGCTGAACACGAGCGAACAAACTGTTGTTCGTGTTCGGCTTGTTTACATTTCGAGCTTAAAAATTTGTTCGTGTTCGGCTTTTTAGGCTTAACGAACAAGCCGAACATGAGCTGCTTAACGAGTCGAACACGAGTTGTTCGCCAAATTGATAGCCCTACATTCTACCCTTATTACTTTAACTATCATTACTGTAAACCATTACATTTATCGATAAACATTGCATGAGAAGCACGAAGGTTCCTACCCAAATCAACAAATGATAAGAGATTTAGCTTATATTTTCTTTATAGTTCGAAGTTCGAAATAGATAACGGCTAGCAACATAAACATTAAATGCTTCATGTGGTATCACTCTTGACTTCGAAACCGAGCCGGAAATCTTCATCTCCCCCTTAATATTTTGTATTTTATTTATTTATTTTATCTTATTTTATTTATGTTTAATTATATTTAATTAAATTTTAATTATTTTTTAAAACACTCTAAATAGTCAAAAATCATTCAAGTGTTTTTTTTTAAAAAAAAATTAATTTTTAAAACTAAATAATTAAAATATGTTAAAATCACATTAAATAAAAAAATTTTAAAAACAAAATAAAAGATTATCTTAAACAAGCCCCAAGATTTTATTGACCAATGAATTGCAATCCAACTCCATGCAATGGACTACTTATACCAAATAAAGATGCCAGTTCCTTTGCATTAGATTAAACGCCAGCACCCAGAAAGATACCACAGAAATGGATCTTTGATATTGTATTAAAAGCAAATGCTTAAGGTATAGAAATGTCCCCAGGACAAATATATGAAATAAATTTTGCATAGAATGCACATTACAGGTGATTTATCATCTACAGAATGCTTTCTTTCAAGATCCTCCCAGTTGCCTGCATATAATAGAGTAGAGTTAGACCAAATCAGAACTGGGGGGCAATGGCTGTATGGGAATGAATGATTTCTAAGAGATTTAGAACCTTTTTAGGGTTGTCTCTGTGTCGCATTCTGTGATGAGAAACTATTGAGAAAGGACCTCAGAGCATCCCTTACTTGATCTGGCGCTTGGCTGAAGTTTAGGTTTACATTTGCATCTGTTCTTATATTAGGCTCATTGTGGTCCCTTGTGTTGTCAGGCTGAGAGTCCTGTGCAGCAAGTAGATCAGGAGACATTAAAATGTTGGCAAATGTCAGGAGCAACTAGTATGTTTTTGTTAGAAAAGAGATGGAGAAAAGAAGAGAGTTAAAAGAACCTATAACAATGATATTTAAGAGATCTATGAAAGCGATATTTAAAAGCACATGAATATCTATCTTTTTTTTCTTTTCCTCTTCCATCAAAATGTGTCGCATTCTGTGATGAGAAACTATTGAGAAAGGACCTCAGAGCATCCCTTACTTGATCTGGCGCTTGGCTGAAGTTTAGGTTTACATTTGCATCTGTTCTTATATTAGGCTCATTGTGGTCCCTTGTGTTGTCAGGCTGAGAGTCCTGTGCAGCAAGTAGATCAGGAGACATTAAAATGTTGGCAAATGTCAGGAGCAACTGGTATGTTTTTGTTAGAAAAGAGATGGAGAAAAGAAGAGGAGAGTTAAAAGAACCTATAACAATGATATTTAAGAGATCTATGAAAGCGATATTTAAAAGCACATGAATATCTATCTTTTTCTTTTCCTCTTCCATCAAAGCGCATTAGATGTGAGAATGTGATAATTTATATTGTAATAGAGTTTTTACATTTTATTGCTTTGTGTTGTTTTTCATCATATATGCTGCCATCTTCTTAGGATTAGTTGGACAGACTGACGTGACTGCTTTATATTTGGCACCATATATAAAGCATATATATGTCCTTATATATATGCTTTATACAAGTTATGGGACAGAAGTGACAGGATCCCTGCTAGCTATGGGAAGGCAATGACGTGACCGCTATATAGATACCGCCGAAACTACATATTTCTCCTACGCCGCTCCTACCCAAAACCATCAAGGAGGGTAAGCCTGCTCGGCTCCCAACATTGATGCTGTCATTTGTTATTGGTTTAACTTATTGTGAAAAGCCTGAATCTTTTCCCCCTGTTCTAGCTTGTTTTATTTTTCACCTGTTTGATTTTTACCATTTTTAGGGTTTTGGTAAATTTATCTAGTTTCTGATGAGGTTAAAAAATTTTAAAAGATGGAAGGCCTTTAGATTTGGAATGTTAGAATTTATTCAAGAAGCCTAACTTCGCAATGACAAAAGTGATCATTTGCAAACCTTGTAGCTTTGAATATACAAAACATGTTCACTCATTTGTCTCTACTTTCCTCTTTTTACTCTTACTTTACTTTTATTTTTTCAATTAAGTGTTGATAATATCATTTGTGATATTGATCAAATTAGAACTTTGTAGGTTTTGAAAGTTCTAATCTCTTGATGGGTCTGAAGCATGCATTTCGATGTTCTCTTGGTTTTTTACATGCAAATGCATTACTAAATCTACCGGTTATGAGGATTTATGGGATTTTGATAAAAAGAAATAATGCAATCAAACAAGTTTTTCTTGACACTTATTTACTTCCTTCTAGAGGTCTGGCTATGAGCGGAAGGAAATAAAGACAAGGGTTTTGATGCCATGATCCCATCTATCACGTGTTAGAAATGTAAATGCATACAATGCGTTATGTGGTAAAATGTGAATGTTTAGGTGTTAGACATGTAAATACATAAAATTTGTGCACATTGTAAGAAAACTTATGCAATAAAAATGTGTTTTTCATTTGTAATAAAGCTAGTAACTGTAAAAAGGTTAGTAATATAAGCATTTTTTACGTAATTTAAGGATTTCAGGGTTATGTATGTGAATATGAAAGTTGTCTTTTACATATGTAAATGCGCAAGAATTGTGTGGTATGCATGTAAATGCCTCTTAAGTTTTATGACGCAAAGATGTTAAAAAATATTTTTTAAGAATTTTGTGGTATGCATGTTAATACCACTTGATCATAGATTTCAATAAGATAATTTAACCCAATTTTCCTTTATCTTCTGCTGGTATGTGGTGGCATGTGATTGAATTTGAAGGTGGTTCAGTTTCTATTTTGCTATTCCAAATGAGTAAGAATTGTGTGGTATGTATGTAAATGCCACTCGATCATATATTTCACTGAGAAATTATAATACAATTTTTTTCCTAATGCGAAGGCATATGATATGAGTGAATTTGAAGGTGGTTTTGTTTCTATTATGCTATTCCAAATGAGTAGGAATTGTGTGGTATGTATGTACATACCACTTGATTATATATTTCATTGAGATATGTAAATGCGTAAGAATTGTGTGGTATGTTTGTAAATACCACTTGATCATATATTTCACTAGGGAGGAATTGTGTGGTATGTATGTACATACCACTTGATCATATATTTCATCGAGATATGTAAATGCGTAAGAATTGTGTGGTATGTATGTAAATACCACTTGATCATATATTTCACTAGGATATTTTAACCCAATTCTTTTCCATTATCTTCTGCTGGTATGCGGTGGAATATGATTGAATATGAAGGTGGTTCAATTGCTAATTTGCTATACCAAATGAGTAATTCTACACCCACTGCATTTTCAGCAAAATGCTTTTTTGGATTTTCTTATGCAAGCAAAAAAAAAACTCAGTAAAATAAAAAATCTCTACTTGCTTCTTCAAGAATAGCAACGAAAGACGAGTTTTTATGCCGTGATCCCATCCATTGTGGTTAGAAATGTAAATGTATAAAATGTGTTGTGGTTAAGTGTGACTGTTTAGGTGTCAGATATGTAAATACATAGAATCTGTGTGGCATGTAAATGACCCAAATTTTATTTATATAGGTTTGAATCATGTTCAAATTTGGGTTCAAACCAATTTGAGATGGCTCGAATCTTAATAAGCAGGCCTCAAAAGCTTGAGGTTATCTCTCATTAGTTGTAATTTCACCAAAAATGGATATTTGGGCATGTTTCTATAAATGAATATGAATTTTATTTTGTAATTTTATCATGTTTCCATTTGCTTGCTTAATTTTATTTTGGGCTGAAAAAGAATAGCTAAAAGCATTTTAAGGAATAAATAATTTGTATAAAGATGTAATACCATTTTTTCTAGATAATGTCATGATTTCTTAATCTTAAGTCACACTCACTTTTCATTTGACTTGTCATGATTTCCATAAATATTATATTGTGTTATTGATCGTTTTCCAACATCACACCAAAGACCCATGCATAAGTCCAGTATCATGTGTTAGTAACTACTTCATTGCCTCTCTTCAATTAGCTAAGTGTGTCATTCTTCATTGAGATTACTAATATGTTTGTCAATGATTAAACAACATCAACGCTATTGCACTAATACTTAAGTAATTTACTAAACAACATCATTACTATTACACTAATACTTTAATTCATTTATGCATAAATATTTTAATATTTAATTTTTTTTCTCTCGTCTCTCTCTTCATTTCTTTTCAAGATCATATCATGGCATCAAAATCATTTTTCTAAGACTAAAATCAAAACGTGAATCAAATTGTGGAATCCTTATACCCTAGGATTAATAAAAATGGTACTAAAATGGAAAAACTATTTGTGAAAAATAGAACACACAATAAAAATGAAAAATCTCATAGACGACGGTCTAACCTTAGAAATGAAGGGAGAAGATATCATCCTTATAGGAAGATTGATGATTTTAATGCTCCCTCTAAGAGATTTAAACTTGGAGCTGCCGCCTATGATGACAACCAATATCCCAATAGATATTTCGATTGGTTAGTCCAAATGAACGATTTTTGCTATTAATATAGGATAGATAACAACCAATAAGTTGGCTTGTCAAAATAAAACTGAGTAAACAAAGAATGATTTAATGGACCAATATCTTAACCAAATCACAGAGGTCAAGAAGGATGACAAATATCTAAATTGAAATGCAAGAAATGTTTAGAATAAAAAGTTATCATAATTAACATGACAAGAAGTTGCATAGCAATTATTGATTTTAAAATAAGATAGTATCCCATTAACTAAATATTTAAACACTTCTAAAATTTAATTATTATAACTGATTGTACCGAAATGATTGGAAATTAGCTAATAAATTTATTAATAAACATAGGGTGAACATAAAAAAAAGGTTATTTTATGCCCAAATACTAAAAGAAGCCTATTAGGCTTTTATTAGTAGAAAATAAAAAAAAAAAAATGTTTCTCTTTCAAGATAGAAAAGATAAACTCCTCAACTTCATCTCGTAGGTCTACTATTAGACACACTCCAACTACTAGCCCAAGGCATTTGCCCAAAATTTCTACTGTGGGAGATAAAAGCAACAAGGAAATAATTTATCTAAAATGTCATAAAAAGAATCATATGCAAAGCCAAGGTAAAATTCAGATCTTCGTCTTAGAAGAAATTCGGAATCTCCTAGATCATGATGTAGAAAAGCTTTATAAAAACAATCCTTTTTATGAATATCTAAAATTCATAAATGACACTTCAATCTATGTGACGGAATGTTTAATTGTAACCAGAAATTGAAATAGAAGATTGGATAAGTAACATTTTAGCATGTATGTTATTTGCAATGAGAAAATGTGCATGTTAAATATAAATGGAAAAAATGCAATTGATTTTATCTTAACCAACACCATATTAAAGTTAATCTCAAGACAGAACCCTCACCCCAAATATGTTCATATCAAATGGGTTAACTATACATCTCTGCCCATCACAAGTATCTTCTCCCCGTAAAGATTGGCAATTGAGAATACCAAACCAAGTGCAATGCCCTCCGCATGGATATTGTTGACATTTTATTAGGTTAACCTTACTTGTATGACCTTTTTTTTTAAAAAAAAAGAAATGTCCAGAGGCTATTATACAAGCCTCCAGCCACCCTAATGTGCCTAATAATTCGAGTACCACCTCCTTAAGGCCAAACTATGCCAGAGGGGATTTGAACCCCCGACCTGAGGGGTCTTATACCGTGGATGTCAACCAACACGCCGGGTACGCGACACGTATGACTTAAATGTGGCCAACTATATATATTTTTGCTTTCAATTATAATAAAAATAAAATTGAATTCTTTGTCAAATTACCCACCATAACATCTCATATGAGCAAATATAATCTACAACCCAAGCCCACTCCAAAGAAAGGATCTAAGCTTCAATTCATTATTATAGAAAACCCTACTACTAAGGATAAATATTATTTATGATTCTTGTTCTGAAACATTTGTATTTTCAGCTTCTCTAACTTCAACAATAAAATTGTATGATTTGTAACCATGCCTGTTACATGTGAAGTAATGCTTAATGTAATATATATTGTCAGAATTAAGTAATACTTCACATGTAAAGTATTAATTTCCTACTTATCAACTAAGAAAATATATTGAATTTAATCTAAAGGGCAATTTTTTTTAAATTAATTTTTAAAAAGTTATCAATGTATTATAATTCAATC